TTAAAGATCAATCTTTATCTTGTTATCCACACCATTGAAATATCATTCTGGATTGTTGGTTGTGATTTACAAAACTCTACTTGGTGCGCTTTTCTAGAGTTGAACACCTTTTGGCATTTAAAGAATATGTAAACCCAACATTTCATATCCCTGATACGTGCCTGTTGTACCCTGCAGTTGTATACAAAAATATCCTGTTCTCTTTGAATTGCTTCCTTTTTGTAAAATCCCTGGTGTACCTGCCAGTCCCTCTGCGTTCCTATTAAAAACTGACCACACTAGACATGAGAGCACAGCGCGTTCATTTCTTTAGATGTGCTGAGAACTCAGTCTGCTCTCCTCCAATGATCAGACTTGTCCTGGCACCCCCCCAATCCCGCATAGCCATTCACTTGGAAGACCAGTGTACTGCTGTTTCTCCTCCCCAGCTTTCTATGCAGCTGAGAACAGAGGGTATGTGATCACTTTTTAAAAAAGGGGGAAAGGGTATTTATAATGTTTTTTTTATATCTATACACAGGGTTTACCTTTCATTTCTATTCTAAACTGTATTTGTTGGTTTACATACACAAAAAATTATTTTGGAATGAGGAAAGTGTAGGAAATCTGTATTTGCCATGAAGAATTTTTTTTTTATTTCTTATGTTAACACTGTTATAATTGCAAAGGGGTTTCCATAGTTGCACATCCAGTTTCTCAATCATCTGACACCAAATTTACCTAAATAAAGAATCCCTCTTTTAATCATTGCTGACAAAACCAAACACAAATGACACAGTTCCTTCCTCTCCGCATAAATGAGGGTATGTATAGCTCTGCTGGGTGTTGTATTCTTTTACAAACATAGATTAATAATTTCATGGCTCAGGTTATTCATGAGAACAAAGTCGCTTTATGCTGCCATGTCCTGTCTCAGCCAATAGATAGCACTGCTACAAATCATAGCTGGGCTTCCTAATGCCTTTCGCAGCCAGCTGATCAGCCGCCCGGTTTCCAAAGACAGGGCAGAACAGTACGCCACTACAAAGTTATATGAGGCACTTCAAGCCGGGATTGTTCCAATCTGCCACTGCAATAACATAAATACAACCAGCTGAGCCCTGGATCATTTTTTCTCTTCCAAACCTTGATGAAAAGAATGAACTTCATACACAATCCAAGAAAGGTTTGAAATACAGAGTTTATACAATCACCCAAATAAAAACGATGTATAATTCAAATCAAACTATGATATGGTTACTGAACAAGTTAAATCTCCGGGTTAGATTACAATTTTTTGTTGTGAAAATGAATGCAATTTTATGTTTTGCCGGTATGTTTTTCTAGTGTTGACCAAGGGCTTTTTTTTTTTCCAAAAAATAGGTGCAGGAACTCAACCACGACCCTTCTCCTGCTATACACACACCCACCCACCAAAGTGCATCAAATAGTGGGTGAGGTCAATATTCACTAACTGTGGGAGGATCTTAAAAGAGAATTAAATATCAGGAGTGCATTACATACAAAGTGCAGAGTTCGGGGGGGTTACACAGAGTGCAGAGTTTAGGGGTGTGCTATGTGCAGTTTGGGATGTGCTACATGTAAACTGCAGAGTTCAGGGGTGTGCTATGTGCAGAGTTTGGAATGTGCTATGTGTAAAGTGCAGAGTTCAGGGGTGCGCTACACACAGAGTGCAAAGTTCAGGGGTGTGCTATGTGCAGAGCTTAGAGATGTGCTACATACATAGTGCAGAGTTCGGGGGTGTGTACTACACACACAGAGTGCAAAGTTCCGGGGTGTGCTATCTGCAGAGTTTAGAGATGTGCTACATACATAGTGCAGAGTTTGGGGTGCGCTACACACACAGAGTGCAAAGTTCAGGGGTGTGCTCTGTGCAGAGTTTAGAGATGTGCTACATACATAGTGCAGAGTTTGGGGGTGCGCTACACACACAGAGTGCAAAGTTCAGGGGTGTGCTACGTGCAGAGTTTAGAGATGTGCTACATACATAGTGCAGAGTTCGGGGGTGTACTACACACACAGAGTGCAAAGTTCCGGGGTGTGCTATCTGCAGAGCTTAGAGATGTGCTACATACAAAGTGCAGAGTTCAGGGGTGTACTACACATACAGAGTGCAAAGTTCAGGGTGTGCTATGTGCAGAGTTTAGAGATGTGCTACATACAAAGTGCAGAGTTTGGGGGTGTACTACACACACAGAGTGCAAACTTCCGGGATGTGCTATGTGCAGAGTTTAGAGATGTGCTACATACATAGTGCAGAGTTCAGTGGTGTGCTACATACACAGAGTGCAAAGTTCAGGGGTGTGCTCTGTGCAGAGTTTAGAGATGTGCTACATACAAAGTGCAGCGTTCAGGGGTGCACTACCCATGGAGTGTAGAGTTCAGCCTTCTTCCACAGCTGCCTACCTCTGCATTCCCCATCCACATTTCACTTTCACCCATCTTTAGCCCTTACCTCTGCATGGAACCCCCCCCCCCCCCATCCTTAATTTTTTGTTGCTATTTTGTTGAGCTAAAGCACCCAGCTGGCTCTAGTACCTCCCCATACACTGTAGGTGGATCTGCCTCTCTCAGTTGCAGGGAGATCATCCAGTGGGGGTGTCAGCATCCACACTGCACCCCAGGCACCTGCATCTCCCTGGTCCCCATCCTGCACACTCAGTGGGAGCCGCTCAGATCAGATCTGTGGAAGCCATTGGAGATAGGGTTGTCACCTCATCTCTTTAAAACCCGAACATATATTAATTACGCAGGTTCTGAGGCTAATTTAATGCAGATAAGGTACTAAGTGAGCTTAATTACCACCTTAATCAGCCACAGAACCTGTGTAATTAATATGTGTTTGGGATTAAATGGATGAGGTGGCGACCCTGATTGGAGACAAGCTGTCACTTGTAAACTGAAGCCGGACTTCTGTGTTTATGGGTGATAGCGGTGAGTAGGGAGCAGAGGGCCTGAGCCAAAGTTGGATGAACTGAGATCCACCAAGTTCGAGCTGAACTGGCATTGACACTTTTTTTTTTAAGATCTTGCATTACTAACCACTTGCCCTCCACCCTATAGCAGAAATACTGCTACAGGGTGGCAGGGCTGTGCAAAATCACGTATATATACATGATTTGCATCTCCAGGTAGGGGGCGTGCGCACGTCACCCTACCCGTGCCGCTATTGGTGGCTAGACGTTGTCAATCACCGGGTCCTGGACAGTGATTCCTGGCCGGCACTCGGTGATCCTCGGGGGAAAGTGACAGGGGAGAGACCTGGGTGCAAACACAGGTCTCTCTGTTGTCAGCATAGACATGCTGTTTTGTATCTCTCAGCACAGCAGAGGTACAAAACAGCATGCCTCCCTAATAAAACACAGCACACAGTAAACCACACACAGCACACAGTTAACCCTTTAATCGCCCCCAGATGTTAACCCCTTCCTGCCCAGTGTCATTAGTATATATACTGCCATTTGTAGATGATATATATATTTCATGTACATCATTTAATTTACACGTATTGGGATTTTTTAGCAAAGACATGTAGCAGAACCTATTTTGGCCTAAATTTATGAAAAAATTTGAATTTTGAAATTTTTTTTATTGGATATGTTTTATAGCAAAAAGTACAAAATATTGTTTTTTTATTCAAAATTGTTGGTCTTTTTTTGTTTATAGCACAAAAAAAAAAACAACGCAGAGCCAATTCAAATACCACCGAAAGAAAGCTCTATTTGTGGAAAAAAAAAAGGACATCAATTTAATTTATGTACAGCGTTGCATGACCGCGCAATTGTTAGTTAAAGTAACGCAGCACTGTATCGCAAAAAATGGCCTGATCAGTAAATCTTCCAGAGGGCTGTTCCTATAGATTTGTTGCATCACTAACCATAGAAATAATAAAATATTATATTACATGCAGGAGCTACTGATAACATTTCCAAATATATATATATGAAAGTATTTATAGCTGTACAGAAGTTTTCATATTTATGTAATTAGCTTTTTATACCGAACTCCAGCCAAAACATTTCTGTTTTTTGTTTGGGAAGGTTTCTTTGCGGTTCTAGACACCCCCCTTCCCCCTTCCCTCATCCAAAACTAAAAAATAATCTTTTGCCTGAAGCAGGGATTTATTTTTGTTTATTCCCTGCCATATTCGGCACCAGATTGACGCTAGATTTTCTGTGCTGTACAGGATAGCTGTTAGTTGAAAAATATTGTCCCTTTTATACCTTCCTTTTAAAGCATTTTATAAGGTTTTCGAAAGAGTAAGGTAGGGAAGAGTTAACCCCTCTATCCCCAATTGGAAGAGTGCATCTTACTTCCAGTCTTAGTGTCCGTACATGAGGTAAGAGGAGTCTCCTCTAAAGAAACACACAGCAATGGAAATAAAATAGAGATTCTACATCCTCCCTTCCCTTACTCCTTTAATCTCTGCTAAAGAAAGCTCTTTTATTGCTTTGTTTGTTTCTTATAGAGAGATACCCCTTACTTTCTAGCCTTCCTCTGGATCACCTGTGGGTATAGAATTGTGTCTATTGGACTTTTTGTTTTCTTTTTTTATTGGTTGAACTAGATGGACTTGTGTCTTTTTTCTACCAGACTATGCAACTTCTTGTCCTGGTGACCACAGAGGAAGCAAAAAAAAAAATTACTTAGTAGAGTCACAGACAACAATAACAAAAAAATCCAAACCTTCCCCACTTTTTTCAAAGCTAACAAAAAAGTTTTGCATGGAGATGGGCTTTCAACACCTTGTGAGAACTAATGATTTCTTGAAATATTTACAAATTCAGATGTGGTATTAATGCAAATGTAATTTACTGTACATAAACCTAGTTCTAAAAAAATTTTAATTTACTGTATGTTCATAATGGTGCGGACACCCTTGGTACTGGTCTGAACACAGAGGAGCAATAGTGACCGACTGGGAAGTAGGTTATTATTTCCGCTCTGTCTGTGTTGAATCACTAACTCTTTGCTAATTGTCTTATTTGTATCCTTTACAGGTAGAAAATTGTCCCCTATATTTGGAGAACGTTTAGATCGTTTGGAAGAAGAGGTCAGACGTTTGTCTCAGTCATATGACAGCTTACAAGGAATAGTAAGCGGTTTGGGAGACTCTCTACGTCTTGCCATACAGGAAGACACCAACAAAATGATTGGTTCATTAGTCAGCGGGCCTGGTTCTTCATCACAGTCATCTGTTGGCTTTGGGGTGATTCCAGATGCTTTGGCTGAGGCCCCTTATGTTCCTGGAGACCTATCTGGCAGAGTAGCTGAAGTGAGTGAACTTCTACGATCAAAAACAGAGCTTCTGGATGAAGTGAATGGGATGGTGATGGGTCATGAAGCACAGCTCCAACATTTACTCGAGGCTGCAAGACCGTCTCTACTTACCTCCACTGAAATGCTTGAGCAGTACCTGGAGGGCAAAATAGCTGAGGCACAGGCAAAGATGATGGAAGGAATAGAGTCACGGATACAGAAGATCCAAGGTATCTGTGATATTAAAGTACAAGAGGTTCAAAAGCAGTGTCAAGACGTAGAACAGGCAGCAGGTCAAAGAATGCAGCAGGAAATGGATGGAAGAGAGGTTGCCTTGCAAAGAGAATTGTCAAAGTTAGGCACCAGACTACAGGAACTGGGTGCACTTGATGGCTGTTGTGGAAGGTTGGAAGACCTCAATAGGCGCGTGGAGGAACTGGAACATAGCCTTCACCAACTGACTGAAGAGCACCACACTATTAGCCAGAGGGTGGATGTGGAACTGACAAGACTTATGGTGGAGCCTCAGATTGGAACAAGACTCGATGAAGTGGAAAGCAGGTTAAACTTAACTGAGGAAGGTGTGAGAAGATGTTGCCATGAAGGAGTGGAAAGAGGTCACTTGTTAACCGAGTTGGATGGAGTAAGGGCTTCTGTAGATGACAAAGTAAGAGTTTTGGAAGAGAGACTTTTAACAGCTGTTGGAGAGCTCACCAATGCCTCGGCTCCTTTGGCTCTAGATGGAGCAGTGATGCCTTTATTGGATGCTCATTTGTCTGGGCTACGGAAAGAAGGTCTTGAAGGGCTGGAAGGAGTGCAGAGTCGACTTGCTGCTGTAGAGGAGTTGTGTGCTGCTGGATGTTCTGCACCTGGAGGAGAATCTCTTGTAGAGATTCATAATGAGATCTTACAGTGCCAGAAGCAAAACCAGGATGTCCAAAAACAACTAAGTCACCTGAACGGAACTGTTTTAAGCATTAAGAAGCAGATTGAACGACAACATGAGGAAGCATTACAAGGCGAGATCACTCTGCTACAAGTTAACTTGCGCAGTGTTGGACGTTCTCTGCATGGCTTGGAAGAAACTGTGAATAGATATGCAGATTCTGTATCACAAATAAATTCCACGGCTGAGGAACGGGGTAACCGACTGAACGAAGAACTGACTACAGTTCAAGGACAGATAGACGGACAAGGCTCACAAATCCGCACCAGCCGAGCACAGCTACTAGGACTACGTGGGGATATGGAAAGGATGAAAGCACGTCTTGCAGGTCAGTTAGGTAGTTGTCAATATCTGGCCCGTGAACTTCAGGGAGAAGTGGCACAGTTTGAACGTAGGGTGAACCAAGTGGAAGGTGCCTGTGGAGCTCAGGAAGCAAGCTTTTTTGGCTACCTGGACCATGTCAACAGCACATTAGCCTCCCATGAACGTGGTTTGGGAGCCCTGAGATATGAGCTGAATCAAATTACACAACACGTGCCAAGCTTGCCGCTGCCACCTACCACACAGGACACTCCTGAAGGCAAATAGCATGACCTAATTGCAGTAGAGGTTCTTCCTTGAACATGGTGGGCATCCATAGACAAAAACTTAAGGAACTTAAAAAGCAAAATGCCCACTTGGAACAGGGAGACTTGAGAAGACTTGTTCTCAGTGTTCGGGGCAGCTAAGTCACTTTTTTTTTTTGGGGGGGGGGGGGGGGGGAGGGAGTATATTTTCAATGCCACCTGTTCAGTACAGGATAAAGTGGCAGTGCAGGGATATGTGTGGTGCTAGGGCATTACTCCTATACAAAGTACTTTCCACAGACTATATATATCTCTCAGTGTCTTCTTCTCTGTTACCCTGATGCACTGCAAGAGGTAAAGCTTGCTCTATCTCTGTGCCTATCTGAAAATAACCTCACTCTTGGATGAATTATTACCCACTCATTTAAGGCCACTCTTTGTTCTCTGCCAGCAGTGAAACTGTTAGAAGTATGCAGAGGAGCAAAAAAAAAATGATGTGCTTGTATGTATCATGCAAAAAAAACCATAAACACTAAAGGCTCAAACCAAATGTTAACCCAATACACCCATTGGGATATCTACCTGCACACATAAACCCTACCTAAAACTGCTAATCTGTTCAATGCATGGTTACTTTGTTCCAACAAATCTTCCATTCATATCCATCAGTCCAAAACACATAATAAAATAATTCTGAAATCTTGTATCTAAGCAGATTACATCTCTTAGCTTTAGGAAGTTTGTTCCACTGTGCAACACACAGCACAGTCTATATCCAATTGGTCTCCTTGTCCTTTTAATGTTGCATATACCCCCCCTACTGGATGTCTCCAGCATTACAGGCCCATGTTCTATATGATACAAGTACAAGCCCTGGAATGGAGTCATAAATCACCTCCACAGATGTACAGAAAAGGAGCTTATTAGAACAATGCACAATAGCTAGCCTACGTGAATTGCTGATGGCTTCAGCTCTGAATTTTCTTACTGTGTGAGGAACTGAAACCACATATTACAGAGCGGTAACTGAGAAATAGCTTGTTGCTTATGTGACAACTTTTGGATTAGTCAAAAATGAAATCCTTCTTAGAAAAATCCCACCTAATTTAGTCACTCGAATATAAATCTTCCACTTACAAGTTCCATCCAAGTGGGGACTTCGCCATTGTGGCAAATACATAACGATTTTTACATGAGTGCTTAAATAAAGCGTGTGGATTTTGATCTTCAATGTGCTGGTCTTTCTACTTGTGTCTTAACCCCGTACTGACTACTAGCTAAACCATGCTGGAGCTTTGAAAAAAGCACCTTAGATTCTTGCTTGCACATGCATCTGTGGTACCACCCACTTTCATGTATGGTACAGAATCCCACCAAAAATCTTATGCAAATACTGACTTTATAAAAGTCAGCATTTGCAAAGGGTTAGCAAGCCCCCCTTCTTCTGTGTACAATACTCAGGTCTGGGGACAGGCGACTTGTTGGAGAGCACAGGTGCATGCAATACTTGCATGCTGCGTACCGCAGAGGTAGGTGGCGCTCTATAGGTATCTTAGGTTGCCTACTGCAAAGTTTTAGCATTCATTTACTCAGTTAAGAATCTGCATAGGGTCACAAATGCGAATTAAGGTGTTGCCCATAGCAGCTAATCAGACTCCAGCTCTCACAAAAATGACAAAGCAAAACTAATGTGTATTATAAAATTTGTGATTTTTCAGCCCTGTCAACACACTGCCCTATCTCCTTATAGGCAAAGCAGTCTAATACTTATCTGTCAGCATCTCTAGGCTCGCTTTAGTCACTGCGGTGGTGTGGATCACATGGGTTCTGTCAAAGGGTGGCATCTGCATTTAGACAAGACCACTGATTGTCTCTCTCTCCTTTGGGAGCTCCAAGCTTTCATACAAGAGGATCACTGTTCCAAAAATGTGGCATCTTTACATTCCCCTCTAACTACTGAGCTGCGGACTGTCATACCAGCCTAAGAGCATGCTTTGATTTTCCTTTTTATGTATATGTCCTTTTATTCTTTCTCATATCTGTAATCCACCATCCAATCCTAAGTGCCTTTCAACTCTGCATTAGGCATTAACTGTAGTGGAGAAATCCTTTGAGAATATCTCCGGCCTGCAGATGTCATGGCTGGAGTTGGGGCTTCTAAATCTGTTGCACATCTGTCTTTGTGTGCAGAGTGTTGGACACTATGGAGAGCAGGATTTATTTTCCCAGTTTCTGCTGTTATATACTGAGGTCACATTATACATTTATTTCATGTTAAAAAAGTTTTACAAGTATTAAAACAAAGAAAGGCTTAGCTTTGAAGCTCAGCTTCAGCAAGCAATAGTCAGTTGTAAGTCAATTACCATAGATAGCATTTATACGGCCTTGCTACAATGCCCCTTTCCCCCCACACACACATCGCCATCCTCATCTCCAGCCATACCTGTGACAGTTGATGAAATAAATGAGAAATTCCCAATAAAATTATTCCAAAATGAACAAAAACCTCTCCCAACTAAAACCGTATTCAATCAGCACAACACACCCTATAATAATAGGATAGTGCTCTAAATAGTTGCTGCTAAAACACTGTTAGTGACTTCACAACACCTGTACAAAAATGAATAACAATACAGTGTAGCGCAACCAACAAATATCTCATATAAAAAGCAATAAAAAACAATAATTGAAGTCCCATGAAAAAGTCTCCTATAACACCACTGTGCAATATGTATAAAATAAATCTTCTCTCTTCTTCAATGCCAACCGTGCAAACCACCATTAGGTGAAAAACCTGCTCACCTCATCAATAGGTCATTAGGTGCTCAACATATGGACACACTTGTGTATGCCCTCTCCTACTGAGGAAGCCCGAATCTGGGCTGTAACAGGCATAGGTGAAAGGAGCTGAGCCATAGACGTTTTGAATTGATGACCATCTGGGAGAGCGGGGTGGTGAGCCATCTAACAAAATATACATTACATGCTGGCTTGTTTCTTACATCTTGTAAGTGTTTTTAATCTGGGCACTAATAAATTGTTTTATAAATAGAGAGCACTTTTCTGTTTTCCATAATACATATTATATGAGAGTGTCAACTGGAGGAGTGTATACTGTGGTGGTGCCAGGAGAGGAAGACCACAGAGGGTGTACACAAGTGTGTCCATATGTTGAGGACATAATGACCTATTGATGAAGTCATAAAGTGAGGTGAGCAGGTTTTTTATGAGGCCTCCCCTGTTCTATGTGATAAAAATGATTTCCAGTAATCATTCATGAAAATTGTTGGGCGCTGCCACACTGGTGGTCATTAGAGAAATGTCTACTTACATTGACACCAGAGTAGGAGGAAAGGATAGGAGATCCAAAAACCACCTATTTCATTAAAAGCCTCAATCCAAGTCTGCGTGTATAGGCAACACATTTAGGGGGCTCAAAAGCACACCTTTTACCAGCACGTGATCTATAAGTGGAATGTTAGAGAATTGACCTACTGGCCCCCTAATAGGCATGCTCTTCAGTTGGTTGCTACAGACCTCAAAACTCTTCTTTGGCAACCTTATCCTTATCCTCCCAAACCCAGTTCCAGTATTAAATGACTGGATACTCAGCACCACCCATCCGTACTTCTAATATCTGAAATGGTGGTCATTGTAGTGGTCCCTAATATTATCAGCCAGTTGGAGGACACCTCATATGAGAGTATGAGAGAAGGGTCTCTTTATATTGGTGGTGGTCAGTTGGAAGAGTCCCCTATATTAGGGGACAGTGAGGGAAGGACACCCTTGTATTAGTCGTCAGGGAGAGGAGTCGTCCCTTATATTATTGGTCAGTGGGAAAAAGACCCCTTATATTAGTGGTCAGTGGGAGAAGAATCACATTTTATTAGTGGTCAGTAAAAGGAAGAACCCCCTTACCTTGTTATTTTCTGGGAAGACTGCCCCCTAATAGATGTTTAAGGGATCATTGATGTCAGTGGTTACTGAGAGATATAAATTGTTCATTGTTTAAGGAACCTCTTCAGGAACCCTAATGTCTGGTAAACACAATGAGAAAATCTGACAAATGATCATTCGTGTTTTTTTGCATGCTACTCTCATATCGAGCATTAGAGTGCTACCAAGCATATGAAAATTCTCATA